TTATTTATTTATTAAATTTGTATGCCACCCATCTCCCCCAACGGGTGACTCTGGGCAGCTCTCTGCCGGTTCAGCTACACACATTAAAATCAATAAACTGTTATCTAGCAATGCGAGGACAAATACATAACAGCGACCAAAGGAGTGATGGAGCATGAAAACACTATCTCTTCCCTCTTTCTTCTGCCAGCACCTTTAAATTTAAGATAATGACTACACATTTGAGAGCCAGTTTGGTGTAGTGGTTAAGGCATCCGGCTAGAAACTGGGAGACTGTGAGCTGTAGTCCCACCTTAGGCATGAAGCCAGCTGGGTGATCTTGAGCCAGTCACTTTCTCTCAGCCCTAGGAAGTAGGGAATGGTAAACCACTTCTGAAATCTTGCCAAAAAAACTGCAGGGACTTGTCCCAGCAGTTGCCAGGAGCCAACATTGACTCAAAGGCACCAAAAACAACAACAACACAACCCTGGGCTTTCAGATGAGGTTCAATGGCAGACTAGATGTCTCCGAAGGAGCACAGGCAGTGCTGTGACAGTGAACGGTGGCCAGCTGTGATTTCTAGCTGGTGAAGTCTTTCCAGATAAAGGAGGGACCAAGAGATCTCCCACTTGCACCCCGGGCTGCTCCTCCTCGTGAGGAGACTGTGAGAGTGAAGCCTTGTGGTCTTCTCATGAGTAGAACAGCAGGGGGTCAAGGGAGAAACAGCTTGCTGACACACACACAGGCACATCCTTTTAAAGGATACTTATTTGACCAAGCCCTCACTTTCTTAATCACTTTTGAATATAATCAATGTACAGTTGAAAAGAGGTCTTTGAAAACAGCAGGATAAAGAAGAAAGCCTCTGGGTAAGTTAGACTTCTTTCTGAATTACAGAAAAAAAAAAAAAACAAGAAATAATACTTTTAAAGACTTTAAAGCAACAGCAAAGAGCTTAATAAGATTTTGACCAAGAAAGTTATAAACGGATAAAGGGGATTGTATAAATTTGAAAAATTAATATTTTGGCGAAAGTGCTTTTGGCATTATTTGGAATTAATCAACTAAATGTTGATTGTCTAACATCAAAGGGAAAAGATTATTGGTGGAATTTATAAAACAAGGAGATAGATGTAACAGGAGATGGACTGTGTCAGTAAAACTATGGAAAGAGAGATTGGACTAAAGCCTTAAGGGTATGGAGAAGGGAAAAGTGGGGGGGGGGGGGGGGGGG